AACTTGAGTGATGTTCTTAAATATCCTTGTCAAATCAAGACTTTCATATATATGTCATGAATGGCAACCAACCCATTCAGAAATGTCTGAACTCTCTGATGCATACAATCTCTTTCTCGTATTAATGAATAAAATGGCTTTGAGTGAATGAATCTTTAGAGATGACCATCTGTTTTCCAATGTCATGGATTCGTGCTACAGAATCACAAAGAAAGAACTGTAATGGATAAGAGAAACCACATCAATTGAGGACTTTCAAAAGTAGCAACAACTGAAATGGATATAGCATGTAACTTGAAAAAAGAATAATGACATAATCATGATGCTGATATTCCACAAGACTTCAAACAAAAGGTTAGGAAGGAAGCTCAAATCAACCCTGGAAAGAGCAATAACACACAAGACTTGACAAGCCTATTCCTGAAAATTTATTTTAATAGAAAAATTTTATGAATTTTAACTGACATTAATGATGTTCAGTCAATAAATACCAATTATTTCCTTATAAGGTAATTGCTAATCTCACCATTACAATTATCATCACAGTGGTTTACAGTGGTGGGAAAGTGACTGAAGCCAATTTGCCAGGTCAGGACCAATAATATTGCTGATTCTTCTTTGGATTTTATCTTTAAATATATAGCAGCAATATTCAGATCATGTCAGTCATATTTATTAATTTTTAAATCGCTACACAAAAGATTTCAGGTTTCAATACTATGATTGTACTTCTTCAGGTGATGGTAAGTAACTGGTTATTAAATGATTATTAAGGAAATTTAAAAACAAATTGTTACCTCTTTTCCAAACGTTAAGAGTGGGGGAACATAAGGTCAGAATTAAAATTAGACTTGTGGGTATGTCTTGATTAACCAATTAAATGTCAGATCTATGCTAAATAAATACTATATGCTCAGAGGGTGGAGGTGGGTGAGTTATTTTTTCATGTCATGATAAACTGGAACATAGACAGGCCATTGTTGGCAATTGCGGAAAATATGTCAGCGACAAATGTATCAAGATTGTAGACAAATATGTCGTGTTCCGTTTTTGAAAGGATGTTGAAGGGAGGGATTGATTGATCAAATGTAAAGTTAACAGAAAAAATTAAAAAAAACAATTTTTTTATATTCAGGAAGCTTCTTAAAGGGGCCTGTAGATAAAATTAAAAATGTGGAAAATCTATACAAGATATTAATAATACTAACTGGATGGCAATACATAGCAATATTAAAGCTTAATAGACAAAATAAGTTCCTAAACCTGTAGAAGGTAGACCATTATATACTTATAAATTATAGCTATAAGAAATGGTAATATGTAATTTTTAAAATTTAACTATATTTTAAAGTAATAGATAAACTGTGTCAGCAATTTACCTTTAATGCTCTCCTCTGGTTCAATAGAGCTTTTTGTCAGCAAAATTTATTATTTCTAATTTTTCTTGTAAACATAAGAAGTATGGTTCATTTAAAGATTTACAAGATCTAATTTTTTTATTAATATTTTCCATTTTACTCTAGGGGTTTTGTTAACTTCTTTTAAATTCCAAAAATATTTAGAAAGGAATGTCCTATTTCTGTACGCATTGTTGGTGAAAGATATATGTTGATATCACCTAGTTTTAAAGGAATTCTTTGTATTCCTGATATAAAATTTTTTTACTGTTAGATTTTCTATAGTAGAAATAGTGCATAGGTAAACACCTATTTGACACCTATTTTGTAATGAACACTCATTAGAATTTCTACAATTACTCTTGTTGGTATTATCAGCATTTGCTGCTTTGGAATGGCAATGACTACTTAGGCTTTTGTATTGATTTAAAATTTTATTATTATGTTTTTTAATAAATTTTTCAAGATCATCTGTACAGCTATAGCTTAGTTTTAGTGTATTTCTATTAAAAATCTTATTAAGTGGATTATTTCTGGTGAAGTGTTTCTCAATTAAACTGAGATATATCTGACCTGACTTAGTACTAACCATTTGGTTAAATGGAGGTGTGTATCAAATGATTTTTCTGTTTCTATTTTTATTCTTACTATTGCTGTTATGTTTAATATATTTGATGTCAGGGCACTTATAGCCACTATTTTTAAGGCGGTGTTATAAAATTTATTATGTCTGTAAGAGACATTTCACTGAAAAAGTTATTGGTAATTCTATATTATATGGAGAAGGGTATGTGTTTGATTACAGATGGAGAGTGGTTAGAATTTGGGTGGATATATATATTGGATTGTTGCTTGTTTTCATGTAGAGTTGGTATGCATTATTAACTAGGTCTAATGTAACATCAAGGAAATCTACTTTTTTTTTTAAATTAGTGTGGATCTTAACTTTAAGGTTGAGACTATTATTATAATCTCTTATAATAAAAATATAATAATAACATATTGCTCTACTTTGTATTGAGCACTTTTTAAGAAGTAAATGCTATGAACTGTGGAGTTTTACTCCATTTCTTCTTTTTCTCATTTGTATATATATATATATATATATATATGTGTATAAAATGTAAACAGAATTGAATCAGACCAGGAAACAGCGGTATTAAAAAGTGCTCAATACACGTGTGAAAAAAAAAAACAAAATATGTAGAGCTTTTAACCTTAAAAAGTAGGAGATCACTTGAATCTGCTACCTTGGTTTCAACCACACAGTATTCTCAGGTGATTTTTTATCAATTGACCTCCCAATGTTTATTTAAAAAAAACTAATGAATGCTATATTATTTTTAAAAAAATAAATAAATGCATGACATTGGGTGTGATAGAAAGGGAGGAGGAGAATGCAAAGAAGGAAGGAGAAGAAGAAAAAGAAGGGGGAGAGAAGAAAAGCAAGGGTATTATAAATGTATCAGTGGGGTAGGGGTAATTGAAATGTACTTTTTTTTTATCCAACCTCATATTGTACTCTCTAGCATTCTTCAGGTATCTTGTAATTTTGGTAACTTTTGGAACTGAACACTTTACTTAATCCATTACTCCCATTCTGTTGTCCATATCTAAGGATATCTCATCTTATTCTTTTTTTAGTATTTCTCAGGTTTTGCTGGGCTTGTTTCTCCTGAGTCTGATCATCTATATTAGCCTACCAAAGGATTGAACTCACAGTTACAATGCCACAAAACTCCTTTAATCCCCTAAAGTTTTGTTTCATGGGAAAATTCTGAAAAAAAAAAAAAAAAAAAAAAGAGGGCTTGGAGAATAGAACACTCACAAGGTGCAGAGGGAAACAGAAAGTTTGAGTTTGTGTAAATGAATGGCAGAATAGGAATTAAGTTATAACCAGGGGATAAACCACTGTTTAGAGCTACAAGGGATAGGAAGTTGTGAAGAACCATGATCACTCCCATCCTGACGGGAAACATTATATAAAAGAAGAGAAATATACTTAGGAATTTTCACATATAAGGCTAAAATCTATTGACTGTTTTAAAGTAGAGCCTTGTGTCTGAGTTGAGAAATAAAATCAATAATGTCTGAATTTTTTTTTTTTTTCCAAAGTTCTTCCCTCTCCAAAACTCAACTTTTTACAAAGCATAAAATACATACAAAGAATGTACACAGTGAACTTGCTTTGAATGGCAAGCTGGCTTACTACACAGCCTGTCTCCCAAATATTCTTTCATTGCCTGAGAATAATTGATATTGACAAATCCTTGTCTTTATTGGTGTGTGTGCATGTGTGTGTATATATATTCTCTAATGTTAGAGAGATGACACCATACAAGTATTAAGTCAATTTTGTGTCGTCTAGGTCTATCTGTGGTGGAAAATACTTAAAGTCATGGAAAAAATAAATTCTGAATTTTCTGGGGCCATGTCTGTTCTTCTGAAACATGTAGGCCCATTACTTGCATTATTTACATTACTTGAACTGTTATCCTCATCTTCATTGCCATATTCACAATGTTTCGGCCATTCTTCAGTCTTCTTCAGGTGATTGAAATTTAAAACCGAACACTTTATTATTAAATGGTGGCTGAGACATTAGGTTTATAAGTCCCAAAAATTCATATGCAGATGTCCTCAAGGGCACATGACTCAGTGGGATGTTGGTTAGAGACAGTGACTAGAACCAAAGAGTTGTGAGTTCAATACCAGGCCAAAGCAGTGGTGAACCAAAACTTGGAGAGTTGAGTAAAGGGAAATAACATCTGGAAGAGGCATGGCATGTGGAACTAGAAGATGAAATCAAGTGTTTAGTTCGAAATTCCAATCACCTCAAGAAGGCCAGAGTGTACAACAGATGAAATATGGCAATGAAGATGAGGATAACAGTTTAAGTAATGTAAATAATGCAAGTAATTATAATACCTCATCTCAGAGATATAGACATCACTAAAATCTAGTCACTGGATCTAACCAACGTTTTTATACACTGGTCCATGTGTCCTTGTAAATATAGCAATAAAGATGAGGATAACAGTCTAAATAACATAAATAATCATAATACCTCATCTCAGAGATATAGAAATCCATTATATCACTAGAAGCTAGTCACTGAATCTAACCAACGTCTTTATACACTTGGCCATGTGTCCTTGTGAATATGGCAGTGAAGATGAGGATAACAGTCCGAGTAATGTAAATAATGCAAGTAATCATAATACCTCATCTCAGAGACATAGACAGAAATGTAGGCCCATATTTCTTAACCATTCTCAAGGTTTGCTTCCCTTCAATATTTGAAAATTTTTCTTGCATTCCTTGAGCTTAAGGCTAAAAAATTAAGTTTAAAGTTTTTTTGAAGTCAGAATTGGAAAATTTGATATTAAAAGATGTTGTAAATAACAAAAATTTACAATATATATTACTATATGTTTGTGTACATTACTTATAATGTCAATATTAAATACCTGTTCAGATGTTTCATTGGAAGTCCTGAAGAATGTATCCAATATATCATTAGTATTACTATTTTATTTTTATATTATTTCAAGGTGAAAATGTGTAAAGCTTATTCAGAGATCAATACTTGGATATCAAAATATGTCAAACTTTTTATCATTGCCTTTCTTACATCTTTCTACAGAATCATCTATTTTTGGCTTTTCTTTTTGTCATCTTTCTTTTTATATTTTCATATCTATAAAGATACATCTGAATTCTGATAAGTACACTGCTCTTGGCAAACGTATTTAATAAACATATGTATGTAGATATTTTGGCAAAATTACAAGATACCAAAGCTAACAAACTCTCTGTTCAGATCTGCATTTGTTAGCACTACTGAACTGAATCAATATATCTTGGTTACTTTCATCAGAAACTTAGAAATGTCTTTCCCTACTCTCACTCAACCTGTTGCATTTAACAGTTTGAAAGAAAATGGTTCTTCCTTGTTTGCTATTCTGACCAGCATGATCATCTTGGTTGTGATACTCAGAACATTTCGGTATCTATAGCCTACAGCCTTCTTCAGGTGTCTGTCTTAATATCTGCTTTGCTATTCAACCAGCATGCTCATTTTGGTTGTTATAATCACAACATTTCAGCCGTTATACTCACCTGTTTACACATCCAGTGCCTGTCAATTTAACTTGGAATTTTGAACTAATTCCTGGATGACAGATTTTGGTGCAATGGGATGCAGCTTTTATCACCTTTATTGCAGATGCTAATTTTTGAATGCGTTTATTAATAATTAAGACACATATGATGGCTTCCAACTCTAATAGACCAAAGTTTAATTTCTGAAACATAGATGCTAATTTCTGAATGCTTTTACCATCATTAAGAAACATATGATGACCCCCAATTCTAATAGACAAATATTTCATTTCTGAAAAATAGATAGAAATTAGTGTAATTTGTTATAATATTTACTAACATTAAGGTCCAAGACAAAACTGATTTTGTTTAATCACAATAGAGAACCATTTCTGTCTGCCATCAACATGGCTGATGCTAACCTCCAGGAGAGCAACACTTTGTGTTTTCTTGGGCTCACATTCTCAACTGACATGAAGTGGAGTGATTACATTGAATCAATTGCTAGGATTACTGTGAAGAAAGTTGGTTCACTGTGTTGTGCCAGACAATTTTTCTTGTCAGAATCCATCTTACATATTTATAAATTGACCATTCGTCCATGCATTGAATATTGCTATCTGATCTGGTGCTCCTTCTGTATATAGTGATTTTTCAAGCATAGCTTAGATGTGGCACAAGGCCGGATGTATGGGGCACCCAGTGAGAATCAAACTCACTACTCAGTTGTAATTGTTGTACTCAGTTGTAATTGTTGCTAACCATTACGCCACCTCGAGGTGATCCTTCTGTATATATTGAGATTCTTGATAAAATTCAAAGAAAAGTATTATTGTATCCTAGGAAGGGTTAATGAATGAGGAATAACCAAAACAGTGGTTGGAAATGAAATTGTAATCTTTATAACATCAACAAAATACAATACTTGCCAGTGGGCATGAAGTAGGTAAACCACTGCTAATGGTGGACTACTTAGACAACATATTACTCCTACTTACAATAGTGTCCAACGTATTTATCAGAATTGGGACATACCCATTAGTGTTCATAGGTACAGTATATAACACTATCTATCTATCTATCTATCACAGCACATTCATATTTATCTATCTATATATCTATCTATCACAGCACATTCATTATCTATCTATCTATTGCGTCACATTCATATTTATCTATCTATCTATTTATCTATCTATCTATCTATCACAGTACATTCATTATCTATCTATCTATCTATCACAGCACATTCATTATCTATCTATTGCATCACATTCATATTTATCTATCTATCTATCTATCTATCTATCTAAGCACATTCATTATCTATCTATCTATCTATTGCATCACATTCATATTTATCTATCTATCTATCTATCTATCTATCAATCACATTCATTATCTATCTATCTATCTATCTATCTATCTATCACAGCACATTCATTATCTATCTATCTATCTATCTATCAATCACATTCATTATCTATCTATCTATCTATCTATCTATCACAGCACATTCATTATCTATCTATCTATCTATCTATCTATCTATCTATCTATCTATCTGTTGCAACCTAGAAGAGGTTACTGAATGAGGAATAACCAAAATGGAGATTGGAAATGAAATGGTAATCTTTACAACATTAACAAAATACAATACTCGCTAGTGGCATGAAGTAAGTAAACCACTGCTACTGGTGAACTATTTAGACAGCATGTTACCCCACTTACAACAGTGTCCAATGTATTTATGAGGATTAAGACATTACCATTAGTATTCATAGGTACGCTATATAACAAGCATGTTATGTAATTTATTCTGACCTCAACTTCAGTCACTTTCTCACCAATGTAAGACACCTTTCATCTGTTTTTTTTTTACAAATCTTTTCAAGGTTATTTTTGTGACAAGCTTTCCTTCTTGGTACCTCAACTGTATGAATTTAAGCATGCTACTAGATTGGCACCTAGGGTTCATTGTTTTACTTCGGGTGAAATGATAAAAAAAATTTGATTCATGACTTATCTATAGATGTAAATTTATGGACAACGGTGTGATCTTAGTTCCACCAAACTTAGCCTTTTAAAAAAAAAATACACTGATCCTTTCTTATCTGAAATTTTGATTTTTTTTTTTTCATTGAAGTTAAAAAATAGATTATCACTTCTTCTATGGGTTGTGTCCCATCAAGATAATGTTTCTCCACAATTTCCTTATAATAACTATCTCACTTGTTGGCTATTGTAGCATGTAGGGGCTTCCTTACATTGCCTGATTCAGCAGTAGCAGCAATGGCGGTAATCAGCAAGGAACAACTGGAAGTCCTTGAATTGATTAAAATTCTGACCGAGCCCTACTGAGCCTCTTTTCTACTCTTCTTTTTCAGTGGCTGCTATCCTCAAGGTTCAGCTTGAAGGGCTACTCACAAAAAGATACATGGCCTGTCCTGGCAGTTTTACATTCAGATTTCTTGTTCCTCATGGGAACAACTGGAGAAATCTCCCTTCGGGACATCTACACAAAGGAAAAACTATATACAACCCTTGCTGAAGAAGACACGTATCAGCCCTAGCAGGATGATACTCAGATTTCTAATTCCTGGTGGGAAGAAGCAGAGAAAAATCTCTCTACAAAACATTGACTCAAGGGAAAAACTTTCTTAACTGGAAAACCCAGCTTTTTACTTCTGCAAAATGCCACTATTTTGTACTCTCTCTTTCAACCACAAATAAAAGCTGTTAAACAGTTATTTCAAACCTTGGGTTTTGTTGATTCAACTCTCACTGCTGAGCATACACACACACATGCACCTGGTAAACATTTATTATATCCTGAATTAATATGGTTGAGCCTCTGACCTATCATCATCTTGTCAGTGAATTAATAAAATATACTAGAAAGCGACCGTTTGGAAATTATAACATTCTTCTTATTGTATATGCCATGTCACATCAGGATGTTGGTGATCATTGCTCTTCACAATTTCTTGTCTATTGTAGCGCTTAGTAAATTTTGTCTTTTTATTATCTCTTCTAAACCCTGTTCTGCCATCCATTTACACCAGCTAGTTAGGTTATGTGCAGTTTTTCTCTGTCCCTCTTACTTCAATATGTCCTGTGAGTGTTAAATTTTCTAAGCTGTCTTTCCACATTATGTGCTTGAAAAATTTTAATTCTCTCTTTCTAATATTGGGTATAAAGTGTCCTTATTTTTTTTATTTTCTATAAAAATTCTTGATCAATCACATGTTCAGTCCATGGTGTTCTCAGCATCTTTCTGCAGGATGACATTTCTGCTGCTTCAAGTCTCTTCTTCATTTGTGCCCAACATTTATGGCCATATAGGAGGACCGATATTACATAACTGTTCAGTATTCTTTGCTTTGTTTATCTATTACCATAACCATATAAACGTTATACATAATAAAAGATACATATATTTTGTGGCAATGGTAATATTGAAATTAATGGTCCTCAAAATCACACCTAACCTCAAGTGGAATTCTTATATGTGATCCATGGCTAAAGATGCAATTAAAATGATCGGCTTCCTGTACTACTCCAGTAAGTACCTGACTCCTATCCTCTACCTTTATAAGAGCCAGATCAGGTCGAAAATGGAATACTGTTGCCATATTTGGGTGGGAGTTGCCCAGTTCTCACTTTCCAGTCTTGACAGAGTTCAAAAGCATCTCTGAGTTCTTGTGGAAGAAAAATTATTTTCCACTCTTCAGTCTCTCTCTCACAGGTGGGATGTGATGAGTCTCTCACTGCACTATTGCCACTTAAATGGAAAGTGCTCAGACGAACTACATTCCTTGATTCCGCCAGGTATAACCTTCACAGTTAGGACCCATCATGCCACTTACATAGTATCAAACCCCCCACATTTCCTCTGTATTCCATTGGCAAGAAGTAAGTTCTACTCAAACAGCTTCTTCCTATAAACCACTGTCCTGTGGAATGGACTCCCAAGAGGATGTTTCCCCAATCACTACAATTTTAATCTGTTCATGTCTAAAGTTAACCATTATCTTCCCCTTCTATCTACATAAACTTTCACTTAATATAACTAGTGTAACATACCTATGGACAATAATGGGTATGTCCCCATCCATATAAATACAGTAGTAAATACTGTATGTTGGTATGCAGTTGGAGATTCATTGTGGAATTCACTTGACTTACTTCTAGCAGTTGACTATTTCTTCTACATGCCGCTGGTGAATCTTATATGTCTTGTTCATGTCCTAAGTATTATCATTCATTACGAACCTTTGTGTGATTTTTCTATACTGTAACCTTCCCTATGTTACAACATTTTGACAATGAAGATTAGCTAAAATTACAGCAGTAACCCTAAACATAAAGTGGCCCCTAGGGTTTGTACAGGGTAAACCTTACTGTTTAAAAAAAAAGGTTGAAATTTATAAAATCCTTTTTTTTTTAAAAGCAGATTTTCAGGAAAATAGTCATCTCAATTCCACACTACCAAAAACAAAAAGTTAGGAAGAAAATTCCCATCAGTACTAGAAAGTGATACAACATTTAGTGGGCATAAGAAGGCTATTTTCTTGAAAAACTCTTTTAAGAAAAAGATTTTATAAATTTCAATTGATAGAAACGTTGACTGTTTGGTCAGTAAAAGTCAAATGTTTCCGCTATGGAAACGTCTAATTTCACCATTAGCATTTCAAAGGAAAAAGTAAGATTGTAAAGCATGTACTTTTTTGCTTAAATCTAAAGAATTCTGAAGTAATATATTCAAAGAAAGTTAATTAAAGCTTTTTGGAAAATATGTTTTTTTTTTTTTGGAATGGTATTGTATTGATGTCACTGACAAATTTCTAATTGGTTGTTCAAGAAACTTAATTACTGAATGCTGGTAGAAAAATATAATTTCACAAAATAACAAAAGAACATTTTAACAAAACTACTTTTATCTAATTTGACTGTAAAAGTAAAATGAAGCACTCATTTAACTAATCTGTCTTTTTCTTCATTATTAGAAATAATAATATTGCCAGTCCATAGAAGATTTGTGGCTGGCTAAGAAACAGTCTGAATGTAGATAAATGAAACAAGACTATGTCTACAACTTTAGTTATAAACATTATGCTGGGAGGAATAGCAGCTCAGTGGTTATTTTTTGGTTTTTTAATTGAGTTCACCCAAAACAAGGCAATAAAGCCACTAAGATACAAGGGGTTATTGGATGCGAAAGAAACAGAAACACTAATAAGCAATAAGAAGAGTTTTCAGGAGGACAGTAAACAGCAAATGCCATTGCCTTTAAATTTTTGAAGATTAAATTTGGCTGGAAAGCATGGAGCTGGAAGAAATTTCAGCAAGCGAGAAGTGCAAGAAAAGAAACTGTTAATATAGAATTTATGTTTACATTTAGCCAATTCAACTGTAAATTAATGAGACCTCAATGGCAGTCTAGTACTGCACTTAAATTCAAAGAGTCTAGGCACCATAGTGAATGAATAGCTTATCTGAACAATTACAATGAAAATATTTATAGAAAAGACACAGGGAGGCAACCTTATGGGTTGAGGGGTGTGGAACCACCTCTTAATTGTTGTTGTTGTCAGGTCCACCCTTCTAGAGTCCCAGCTATGGGCAAATTGCTAACCTCTAAACTGGGGTCAAAACATTCAGTCAGTTATATGCCATGAATGATACATGCTTAGGCAATCGTGTATCTTTCAATATATGACTGACGAGGCAGATTTTTTCCCACAGTAGGTTGTCATTTCTTTCTGCGGTAGACCAGTTACAATCCAAGGCTATAGTACCCAGTCTGTCCTGCTATTTACCCATAGCTGGTGGGAGGGAGAGAAGAAGAGGATTTATACCTTTCCCAAGGATATTAGCATGTAAGTGAATGTAATGGATTTGATTGGAATTTGAACTTGGCTCCCTGACTTCTCAATCCAAGCCACTATCCATTATGCCACTGTGCTTCCTCAAAACATTATGAAAGTGTAAAAATACATTTTTATAGTAAAAATACCAGCAACAGATTTTAATAGTAAAAAAGAGAAAATTCTAGCAATAGATTTTAATGGTAAAAAATTTCTATGAACAGATTTTAATAGTAAAAAAATCCTAGCAATAGATTTTAAAAGTAGAAAAAAAGAAAATTCTAGCAATAGATTTTAATAGCAAAAACAAGAAAATTCCAGTAATAGATTAATAGTAAAAAAAATTACCAAGTGAATGTAATGTATTCAACTGGAATTTGAACTTGGCTCTCTGATTCCTCAATCCGAGCCACTATCCATTACTCCACTATGCCTCCTCAAAACATTATTAAAGTATAAAAATACATTTTTATAGTAAAAATACCAGCAACAGATTTTAATAGTGTTATAAAATAAAATAAGACATATCTCGGCTGATTTACAGGCAAATAAACTAACATACTTAAGAGTGAGAGCCGGATGTGAACGGGACAAGGCCCTGTAACAAAATGACCATTATCGTGGTTTACGCATAGCCCCGACGCACGAGTTCCGGTCAAAAAATAAAATAATATTTTAAAGTGTTTCCATTTTTCAACCAATAAAAAT